CCCGCCCGCCCCCTCGTCAGGGGCCTGAGAGCCGGGAGAGCGTGGAGCCTGCTCCGGCTCGGGCTCGGAGTCTGAAATGAGAAACGGCAGAGGCGGATAGTACCCGCGTGCCCCCACCGTGACACGGAGGGACGGGGAGGGGATAAGAGCACAGCTGGACAGGGGTGCTCAGAGGGGACGAGGAAGGGCCAGGCACCCAGTGGATGGGAGACAAGCGGACAGGGGCTCCAGGTGCCGTGCCCGGAAGGGCTGTCATAGACACACGGGTGGGGGGCGTTGCAGGGTGACCCAGAGCTGCTGGGACCATTACAGTCACCACAGCAGCTGTGCCAGGGCACGGAGCCACGGTGGCAAGACAGACCGTAGCCAGGAGAAAGCACTCAGTGCTGGTGAGGACCCAGAACCTGGGGGACTCCAAAGCTCCAGACGGCGCTCTCAAGCCCTGGCCGAGGATGTGGTCTGTATGGGCACAGCTCCTCATGGGGCTGCATCAGGCCTCGGTGGCAAGTGCCCTGCCGCCCAGCTCCCATGCTCACCCCAGGAGCTTCCCACGCAAATCTCTGGCCCAGGGTCTCCTCCCAGGGACCTGACCTCAGACGCCTGCTCCCCACCCCAGGGCCACCCAGGTGTGGGCGAGGGCTCAGCACTGTTAAATCCAGCCTATCACTAACGTCGCCTGGAAGGAACCCAGGCGGCTTCTCAAGGGGGAGGTGCAGGGGACCTGGATTGACACAGCTCCAGTCAGGCTGAGGGGAGGCCATCTAGGGGATGCAGTAGGAGGGGACCCAGGATAACTCTGGTGAATCTGGGGGGACAGTGGTGCTCTGAGCCAGAGGCCCCAGCCTGAGGCAGGTGGAGGGGAGGGAGGAGTTCCTGCTTCACTACGTCCGGCTGGGGCTGGCAGAAGTCCACGTGGTGCCACTGGGGCAGGTGGCAATGGGCTGCAGTCACCGCCTCGGGAAGCATCAGTGACTAGACTGGCATTAGAATGGGGGAGGGGCCACAGGGCAGAGCTGAGCTGGTGCCAGGGAAGAGAAGGGGCCCCAGGAAGGGGGTGGTGCCAGCATTGGGGGAGCCACAGCGGTGGGCATTGTGAGGAGCCTGGCACGCACAGAGCTCTGGTCACCCAGTAACCCAGTTCTGCTCACTCACCGGGCCAGAAGGTGTCTCTGCCGATCTCCACCTCCTCTATGTCCTGGAGATCCAGGTCAGACGGCTGGGACAACACCTCAGGGCTGGAGCCCGGGGAGCCTGGGGGGCAGGGAGGCTGGGGCTCACCTCCACCCTCCGGACCGCTGCCCCTGCTCCTCTCTGACTGCCACGTGCTCCTGGGCTGTGGCCCTGACACAGGATACCTCCTGGCCCTCCCAATCCCAGTAGCAGGCCTGCTGCTCGGGCTTCTCTAGCCACGAACGCCCTTTACCTTCCTTCCCAGCTGGATTCAAGAGCCTCCTCCTCCAGGGACCAGCATTGGGAGCTCATCCCCTTCAGCCCGGTAAGCAGAGTCAAAACCTGGGGTAGCTTCAAAGTGGTCCTCCTGCTGCTGAAGGCGGCTTTGTCACCTTGGCTGGCTGGCTGTGGCCAGCCCTCCTCCCTGCCCTGCTGTCCTGCAGTGCTGCTCTGGAGTGGCCTCTCAAAGTGCTGGCCCTGCAGGCTCCCACACAGGTACCTCACAAAGCCTCCCTCCCTCGGCCCCAGGCCTTTCTGTCCCTCCAGGGCTCTCCGATGTACCTGATGAGCACCCAGAAACAGCAGAGGTAGCTGTTCCCAGCAGGCCCAGTGTACTGGCCCCTGCTTCCTCAGGCAGAGACTGAGGAATGGGCTGGGCCCATCCATGAGCCCCTCGCCCCTCGGCACACCAAGCTTGGGCACCCAGGACCAAGACCCCCTCCTTCTACCCAAGACTTGGTGAGGGCAGGGTGGGGGGATGGCCTTAACACTCAAGGAGCAGATGCAAGAGGGAGGGGCGCGGGCTCTGCTGCCCAAGGCCAGTAGTCAGCTCTCCTCACACTGGCAGGGGCACCAGGCCCCTTTGGGGGTCTCACCTACCCTCTGCCCACGGCAGGTAGGGTGGCTGGGGGCTGTACTCAAGGACAGGGGTGTCTCTTTGCCCCACGAGGCCGAGTCTGGGTGCCCCCAGCGATGACAATGCAGCGATGGGCACAGAAAGATGCAGGGCTGGGGTGGGCAGAGGCTCCTGTCCATACCATGTTAATAACACAGTGCCTGGCTGTGAGCCTTTCATGGGACTTTCCAGCCTCAGGCAGGCCTGCCCCGGCTGCAGTGGGGTGACCAGCTTGGCCCACCACAGAGGGCGGACCTCCCCAGCCTGGCCAGCCACTCAATCACCCGACACGCCCACCCACCCTCAGGTCGGCCCCTGGGAGACCTTCCAAGCCCAGGCTGAGGAGTGAGGGCAGACCTGACATGAAGGGCTGGGAAGTTCAGCAGGTGGGGGCGGCTGTGTGACGTCCCTTCCTCGGGAGCCGAGGGTCCAACTGCTTGGCTGCCCCGAAGCAGAATGTGGGGGGTCCCAAACCACCTCTAGGCCTTTCAGATATGCTCCCCAACGTGGGGACAGGCCTGGGGGCACTGGCCTCTCTGGGCTGTGACCGTCACCCCCAGCTCGTGGCCACCATGTCACCATCCCCTGGCAGCCAGGGGAGCTGGCTTGTTCTACAGATGGCCAAATGCAGGGCAGGCTCCAGCGCCGTGCTCCCGCGGAGGGGGCGGTGAGGGCATCACCTCTCTTGAGACAGCCTTGCCACCTTTGCCCTGCACTGGGATGCCACTGGAGGGGACCTGGCAGCACTTTGAGAAAGAAAGTGACCCCGATTCCAGCTTTGTTCCTGGGGCCACGCCCCGGCACTGACAGGCGGGATGTTCCCCGGGCTGTCACTTTAAGAGGACCAGTGACATTACCAAGATAGGAGGCACGCCAAAGCTGCTGCCAGCTGTACGGGTGCCCAGCGACACCCTCAGTGTCAAACGATGCCAGGTGGTGTGCACTGTCTCCACCCTGCTGCGGAACAAGCGGGCTCAGGATGGGCCCCAGCTCCCTGGGAACCTGCCCCATTCATGTAGCAAAGCACTTCCTAGGACCTTCTCTAGAGGAGGATGGGGGTGGCCTAGGGTCAGGGGCGGGCCGCACACAGTATGGGTCACTGTCACTCCACTGCCTAACCCTGGCTCCTGACACTTGCCCACATTTGGGCCATTTCTGCAAAGCTCAGTCACCTGCCACCTGCTGGCTGTGCCCGGGCCGTGCCAGGTCTCTGCAGGGTGGACACCCAGACCCTGCTCCCGACCCCACTGGCTCTGTGCAGAAGTACCCCCGCCTCAGTTTCCCTGACCCCTCCCCCAGCCAGTGCCCCCCCACTGCTGTGCTGGGACAGGGACAGGGTGGCCCGAAGTGCAGAACACCAGGGCTGCCACCTGCTGGGGCTGGTCTTCCAGGTGGAGGCGAGGTGGCCGTGTGCGGCTGGGGACGGGCGGAGGTGGGTGCTTTCCTGGCCGGAGGGGCCTTTGTGTATAAAATGGCACAGCAAGTGCTGTGTGCCTGGGCCCGGACCAGGTGAGTTAGGCGCTGGGGGGTGGTCGGTGGGCACCTAGAGTCCAGATCTCAGGTGCCAGGGCCAGGCACTCCATGTGGAAAGACGCTGTGCCTGTCGCGGGGTGCCGCTGCCCTGCCCATGGGGTCCTCCCCACCAGCCTGGGCACTCAGTAACCCCCACAGGACTGCAAGCCCCCGAGGGTTCTGGGCCTCCCCTCCCTCACTTCCTCCTGCCCAGACTTCCCCTCCACCTGCAGGACCCCTGGGCAAACCTTCCAGAACCAGTGCAGGCAGTGCTGGCTCTGGTGGGCGTGCCCCTGGGGCACAACACAATCCCTCAGGAGCTGCGTGAGGACTCTCAGTCCCCCAAGCCCAGCCCAGCTCCTGATCTGCGTGTCCGTGGGGACCATGGAGGTCCTCAGAAATGAGGAACTGTGTCCTGTTCCCACCTGCCTGGTCTCCCTGCTCTGCAAGGCCTGGGCTAGGCCATGGCCCCAAGCCCTTTGCTGTGGGACCCCAGCTTCACGTCTGCAGGAACCACCGCAGAGAACCTTCCCCGGCCGCTCCCCCTGCCCCTCACTACCCTCCCCACTGATAAACAGCTCCTCCTCGGGATCTCCTCTGCTCCCCAACACCTCACAGCCCAGGGCTCAGCATGCCCAGCCAGGCACCCACCAGAGGTTCCTGAGGTGACCACGTGCGCCTGGGGTGGGCCCCGGGAACCTTGGTCTGGCCCAGTGCAGTCTGGGAGTTGGGAGGCTGTGGCTCCAAGTCCTGGCTTGGCCCCTAACTGGCAGGACAGCCCTGGACAATTTCCGGAAACCCCGAGGCCTCCTCTGTCTAGGAATCTGTGGTCCCAGGGCGTTCCCAAGGAGAGAGGACGCTGGAAACGCCCGGAAGCAGCCCCTGCCTTCACCCAGCGCTTGGAAGTTGTGACAGAGGCCGCCCGTTGCTGCGGCCTGGCCCTGCTCGCTCTACACTGGGCCTATCAGCATGAAGAGGGGATGAAGGCCACCCCCTTATCTGGCTCTGGCTACCTGCCCCCAGGCCCCACTGTGCCTCAGCCACAATCTCTTGCTGGGGGGAAGCAGCCACACCTGCCGTTCTCAGGGCCGAGCTGGTCTGTCCTCCCTGGATGCCGTTTCTGGTACAGCAGGGAGAGGGCAGAAGCTGCTGGTGCAGCCCCCACTCCCTCCCATGGGGCAAAACCTCTGGGGATTTCAGGGCACTCGGACATGGCTTCAGTGCCCAGGAGGCTTCCAGGCCTGTGGGGCTGGGGACTCATGCCTGGTTTTCTGGGCCTGACTGCCCACTGGTGGAGACAGGGCTGGGGGTAGTGCAACCCTGCAGGCTCAGGGGGCCCAGCCTGAGGCCCCTCCATGCTCCCCAGGCCCACCCTCTGCCTGGACATTAGCTTCCTATCCTGCAGAACCTGGCCTGCAGCCCCCTCAGCCTGTGTCCTGCGCTAAGATGATCTGCTGGGCTGTGCCCTCCCCAAGAAGACTATCCCCCTGGAGAAGTCACACCTCACCAGGCCTGGGGCGGGGGGCGGGAGTGCCGGGGCATGCCCTGAGTCTGCTGGCCTCCTGGCCTTGTCTCTGGGCTTCCGTGTCCCCACTGGTAACAGGACAGGAGGACGTCCCTCAGTTGTTGTACAGGTGACATGAGAGGGCAAGGGCGGGCCCTGAGATTTTGACTGAATAAGGGGTGAGGAGCACGGCCCTCAGGGGCATTGGCTGCAGGCCCAGCCACAGTGTGTGCTGCGGGGGCTTGGGATCCTTCCAGGTAGCCCCTGGCCAGGCCCACCAGGACAGGCAGCCCAGGCAGCCCACGGGCGCCCCTTCCCAGCCTCCTCACAGTCCCTGGGGAGTTGCTTGGGACACAGCCGTGGAGGTGGCAGGGCTGCAGGCTCCTGCTCCTTGGGGGAGTGGATGCCAAGCCGCCTGGCTCCCTGCTCCTCTAACCCACCCTGGTCCTGGCTCATTGGGGAAGCCCCTGGCCTCTCTGTCCCCATCTGAGTGCCCACCTGAGGGCCCCATGCAGTGCAGCTGCCCTCCACAAGCCTCGGTGGTCCCTTCAGCCACCAGGATGCTGACTCCCCAAGAGGGAGAACCCTGTGCCAGGTCGCCCCATTCCTGGGCCAGACACAGGCTCTCCAGGCTTGACCTATGTGGGGCCTTGCCCCTGCTGTCAGCAGCTCATGTGCTGGGTTGGGCCATGAGGGCCGTGAGGCCAGGCCTCCTGTGGAACATCCAGCAGAGATGGAGCCTCAGGATCCCTGACCTCTGAGAGGGAGCAGAACCTGGGGCACCATGGGGCTGGGACTCCCCCACACCTCAACTCCCAGGGCCTGCCATGTGACCACGAGGCCATACCATCAGAGGTGGAGCAAGGCCGGCCCTCTGTCCCTGCGGGTCCGGGGAACCACACCCAAATCAGCTTGGCAAGGACTCTGGCTGCTGCACTTCCTGAATGACAACACTCAGAGGGGCGATGCCTTGCTCCTGGTCTTCCTGAATGACAACAAACAGAGGGGCCACGCCTTGCTCCTGGTCACGCTGGACGCAGATTTTGAGGCCACTTTCCCTCCTATACTGCAACTCAGGAAAGAAAGAATGCGGGGAACCATCCCTAGGGAGCCAGAGCTCCGGCTGGCCCCAGCCTCAACCACTGCTCTCCCAACCCAACCCGCGCCCAGCCCCTGGCCTGAGGGTGCGGGAACCCCAGCTGCTGAAGGCGCTGCATACAGGTGTCTGGAGGTGCCTCAGTCAGCCAGGGTGGCAGGTCAGGAGGAGACGGGGCAGGGGACATGAGGGCAGGGGATGCTGGGTGGAGGGTACACAGCGGGCTGGGTGAGTACCATGTTGATGCCCATGGAGGTGAAGCTGAGGCTCGTGGTGCTGGGCTCCAGGTGTCCCCGGTGATGAGAGACTGACAGGGGACGGGACAGAAGGGGACTTCTGAACGTCCCCTAGGGCTGCCATCTTCCCTGAGACCTGCTGAAGGTGTCACACCTGGGACCTGGGGAAAATGAAAACCATGGCAGATGAGGGGATTGAGAGGAATGTGGGGGGATGGTGCAGGAGGAGGCAACATGCCAGCTCCCCAAGGGGAGATGGAGATTTATCCACTCCAGGAAGAGCAAGGATAGTGGGCGAACCCACAGGGACACATAATGCCTGAGGTGAAGTGGTCAGGGGACCTAGCACATTTATTCAGTAAGGATTAACGCTTTGAGTGGCTGGGCGCGGTAGCTCACGCCTGTCATCCCAGCACTTTGGGAGGCCGAGGCGGGTAGATCACCAGGTCAGGAGTTTGAGACCAGCCTGGCCAATATGGCAAAACCCCGTCTCTACTAAAAATACAAAAATTAGCTGGGTGCAGTGGTGGGCACCTGTAATCCCAGCTACTTGGGAGGCTGAGGCAGGAGAATCACTTGAACCCGGGAGGCGGAGTGAGCTGAGGTCAGCCACTGTACTCCAGCCTGGGCAAGAGAGCAAGACTGTCTCAAACAACAACAAAAGGAGTAATGCTTTGGAAGGAGCGCTTAGGAAGTAGCCACCACCTGGGCAGCACAGCAGACGCCTGTGGGGGCTGAAGCAAAGCTCCTGTCCCAGCGGAGGCTCTGGCATTTCCTTCCAACCCGTGGCATCATCCCTCCCCCAGAGAAAGGCATAGAGAGTCTTCCAGAAAAACCTCAGCTGCTGGCCCTGTGGGAAGGCTGAAAACCGAACCATGCTTGCTGGTGCACGAGTGTTTTGGAGGAAATCTTAACAAGGCTTTTCCTGAACAGCAAAAGAGAGGCATTCCAGAGAGGGGAACCGTCTTCCTCAGACCCTACAGAGCTGTCAGAGGCTGCAGGCTGGAATCTCCTAGTCCAGCCCTGCCGCAGCGCTGGGAGACTCACTCAGGGCTCCAAGATACTTCTTAGTTTGCTTTGCAAAAATGGTATGAGTCCAATGTGAGAAGTGACTTTTCTTTCACACTGTGATAGAATACGAACTCCTAATCTGGGGCAGGGAGTGAAGAAAAGAACGGGAAAAATAGACAAAAGTTAACGGAGACTCAGATATAAGGACAGCAGTGCCTACTTCCAGGAAGTAGGAGAGGCAGCTCCCACACGGCCGCCACCCCAGTGCCCGGCCTTCTGGGCCAGCCTCCATCCACTAATGATGGGAAGGGTCGGGTCGCCAGGTAGGTGGCCACTGGGTGCAGGTCCTCCACCTTAAAGTCACATCTCAAGTTACTTAGTCAACTTACTGGGGACATCTGGTAAAAGGGCCTACTCGTTCACCCCGACCCTGGCGTGGCCCCCAGGATTGAGCGGAGACGGCCGTCACAGGGTGGGACGCCCCTTCACCCTCAGGGACGCACAAACTCTTGAGCGCCAAGCTGAAGGGGGAGGGGCACTCCTGCCAGTGGCTCGGGGGAAGCATCCTCTGCCCCTCTGTTACCAGCCCCGTGGGAGCGGACCCGATCGCCGGGAGCTCGGCACAGAGAGCATCTGCCCGGCGGTGCGGCGCTGGGGTCCGGCGGCTCCACGCTCCCAAGCAGCGGGACCTCTGGGCCTCAGTTTCCCATCTGCAAAGTGGGGATGACGACAGCGGCCGTCACCGGGTGCTTGGGAAAGGCGCCCTGCGAACGGACACCCGCGATCGCCAGGGCCACTGGGCGGGGCGGTCCGCTGCTGCCCCGCGACTCCCAGGAGCCCACCCTGCTCCCGGGGCCTGGCCCGAGGCCAAGGTCACGGCGAGCGGCGGCTGCAGGGGCCGCACGGCCCGGCTGGGCAGGGCTGCACCGCGGAGGACGGCGCACGAGGTCGGACTGGGCTGGTCCCAGGCGCCAGGAGCCGCCGCCACCACCGCCGCCGCCCGCACCCACTCACCTTCCGAGCGGGAGGAGGCCGCCGCGCGCCGGACGGAAGTGCCCAGCCCCGCCCCACTCCGCCCAGTCGGCGCGCACTTCCGGGACGCTCTGGGCCTCGGGAGGACTGCACGCCTCGGTGGCCAAGTGGGGGCGGGGCCGGGATGCAAAAGCCGGCCTTTCCCCGCCCCGCTCCTCCCCAACTGGGCTGCGCCCGCGCGTGGCTTTCGCGTTCTCGCTGGCCCGGGTCCCGCCCGCGCCTGCAGAGCGCCGGGGCGCTGGGAGCGGCGCTGCGTGGGGCGCAGAAGCCGGCGCCTCGGAGCCTCCTTCCCGACGGGGGCCAGGCCCTCGCCCGCGCGCCCACGGCCGGGCTTCGGGAGCTGACGGCGCCGTCCCCACGCTCCCCCCCGCCTCCCTGCACTCCAGGCCCTGGGGTTCTCGGCTGGAGTCGCTTCCACGTTCAGCTTGCGAGTCCACCCCGCCGCCCTCTTGGGTTCCCTCCTCGGGGCGTGTCCGCAGCGATGGCCGCCGGGAACCGCTGCAAGATGCGCGACCTCCCGCTCCCCTCGGGGGGGTCCCAGCGCCCTCGTTCTGCCTGATTTCCAGGGGCCTCCCCGGAGCCCGAGGAGGATAATACAGGTTCCCAAAAGCCCCTTCATGGATTCCTTCCTCATTTTCCTCTTGTTCAGCCAGTTTCTCCCTCAGTTCTGTGTTTACGACCCGAAAAGATAAAACTGTCACTCTCCGGGATAAACAAACGGCCGGGGGAGGGTTCTTTGACCCTTTTGAGCAGGGGTGCAGAGAGCCGAGGCGAGGGGACCCCCGAGCTGGAGGGGCGCGCGGAACAGAGGGCGGGGAGCCAGATGGGCAGCAGCTGCCTGGTGCCAGAGTGGACGTTCAGGGTTGTGTGGGTGGAGATACACAAAAATCTCTAAACTCCACCGTAAGAAAACAAACATTCCAGTTAGAAAATTGGCAAGAGCCGCAACAGACATTTGACCGAAGAGGGCACAGGGATGGCAATAGGCTCGGAAAGGGATGGCTGTCAAGGAAGGGCTGGCCAGCATCGCGGTGGGTGCCACTGCACACTTGCCAGGTGGCTCAGGTAAAAACTACTAAGTGCCAAGTATCACTGAGGCCGCGGAGCAGCTTGGGACATCGCCAGTGGTAAGGCAAAGTGGTGCTGCCATTCTGGAAATTGGCTTGGCAGTTTTTTAAAAAGTTGTAAGTAGGGCTGGGCGCGGTGGCTCATGCCTGTAATGCCAGCACTTTGGGAGACTGAGGCGCGCGGATCACCAGAGGTCGGGACCAGCCTGACCAACAGGGAGAAACCCTGTCTCTCCCCCATCTCTGGCTAATACAAAATTAGCCAGGTGTGGTGGCGGGCGCCTGTAATCCCAGCTACTCGGGAGACTGAGGCAAGAGAATCGCTTGAACCTGGGAGGCGGAGGTTGCAGTGAACCAAGATCACGCCATTGCACTCCAGCCTGGGCAACAAGAGCAAAAACTCTATCTCGGAAAAAAAAAAAAAGTTATAAGTAAATCTGCCATGTGACTGAGCGTGTCACTCTTGGGTGAAAACTAATGTTCATGCAAAAATCTGTGCCCCAACCTGGACCATCCTATAGAACTAGTACTACATCTGGCTGGGTGCGGTGGCTCACACCTGTAATCCCAGCACTTTGGGAGGCTGAGGTGGGTGGATCACTCGAGGTCAGGAGTTGAAAACCAGCCTGGTCAACATGGTAAAACCCCATCTCTACTAAAAATACAAAAAACTACCCGGACACGGTGGCAGGCACCTGTAATCCCAGCTACTTGGCAGGCTGAGGCAGGAGAATTGCTTGAATCCAGGAGGTGGAGGTTGCAGTGAGCTGAGACCGCACTCCAGCCTGGGCGACAGAGCAAGACTGTCTCAAAAAAAAGAAAAAAGAAAAGAAAAAAAGAACTAGTACTATATCTGATGCTATTTGGAGGTGAGTCCCCTGCACATCTCGTGGAAATGTGGCCCAATGGTGGCGGTGGGACCTGATGGGAGGTGTCTGGGTCATGCGGGGGATTACTCATGAGTGGCTTGGTGCCCTCCCCTAGCTGATGAGTGAGTTCTCAGTCCATTAGTTCACATGAGAGCTGGCTGTTAAAAAGAGCCTGGCGCCTCCGCCCCTCTCTTGCTCTGGCTCTTACCATGTGACAGATGCGCTGGCTCCCACTTTGCCTTCTGCTATGAGTAAAAGCTTCCTAAGCCCTCCCCAGAAGCCTCTTATACAGTATGACCAGGGACAGCAGCACCCTCCGAACCCTGATCTGAACTGTGAGTCAAGCAAACCTCTTTTCTTTTTTACTTTTGAGATGGAGTTTCCGCTCTTGTTGCCCAGGCTGGAGGGCAATTGGCGCAATCTCGGCTCATCGCAATCTCTGCCTCCCAGGTTTAAGGGATTCTCCTGCCTCAGCCTCCCAAGTAGCTGGGATCACAGGCGTGCACCCCACACCCGGCTAATTTTGTATTTTTAGTAGAGATGGGGTTTTGCCATGTTGGCCAGGCTGGTCTTGAACTCCTGACCTTAGGTGATCCACCCGCCTCAGCTTCCCAAAGTGTTGGGATTACAGGCATGAGTCACTGCGACCAGCACCTCTTTTCTTTCTTTTTTTTTTTGAGATGGAGTCTCACTCTGTTGCCCAGGCTGGATTGCAGTGGTGCAATCTCAGCTCACTGCAAGCTCCGCCTCCCGGGTTCATGCCATTCTCCTGCCTCAGCCTCCCAAGTAGCTGCAACTACAGGCGCCTGCCAACTTACCCAGCCTCAGGTATTCCTTCATAGCAGTGCAAAATGGACAAACACAGAACCTACATCAGGAGAGCGGCAGATGACAATGCAATTGACTCGATGACAGGCTGCAGCCGCATTGCACCGGGCTGTGCAGACTCATTTTGGGGGACAGCTGTGTCTTTGTATGTAGTTCTTGACATTGTCACACACACAGGCTGTTGTCACCAGTTCCCCATGCATCTAACACATCACGGGAAGCTGCGTCACCGAAGCTACCGTCCGTGTCGGCTGACCTTTGGGAAGCCGTGGAGTGTCTTACTTCCCAGGCCCCTTGGACCGGTCCTCAGCCTGGCCAGCTCACAGGAGTGAAGGGGGAAGGCAACGGGTGTAATCAGAGTGGAAGAATCCCCTTCCCCCACCAGGGCTTTGGAGGGAGTGCAAGGGTTGCTGATTTAAGGAGCTGGGAGCCCGCAGCCAGCCTGGTCTGTTGGAGCAGCAGGTGGGGGTGGGGGGGCTCCTTGCCTGAGCAGGGTTTTGCTGGGTATTCACTGTGAACAATGAGCTGGTGTTCATTATGCTGGGAGGCGGGGTTCGGGGTTTGGGGTTCCAGCCCCAACAGCCCCACAGCCCCTGGTCCTAAGGCGTGGGAGTCGGCCCACAGCCCCCCAGGCCTGTTGTCTTGGGCTGTGGATTAGAAAAGGCCTCCATGGGCTTCTTTTGTTGAGATCACGGCATTCAGTGCCTGTTCAGATACCCACACAGGCCCGGCCTGCTCCAGCCAGTGCTGCTGGGGGTGGGGTGAGGGTGCCATCTGGACAGGCAGTGCCCTTGTCTCTAGGGGTCCCTGTGGGAAAGTTCAAAGCTTCCTGGGCAGGAGGGCTGGTCAGAGCCCCCGAGCCACTGGGGTAGAGGGGCTGAGAGCACTTCTTAGACCACACGTGGAGACGAGGGGCTCAGAGGAGTGACCAGGCTGAAGGTCCAAGAGGCTTCTCTAAGGGGCAGCATCAGGGAGAGATAGGGGTGGGAGCAGGCAGGAGGGAGGGGAGGCAGCAGAAGGGAGGGGCCAGCCCATCACAGAGAGGTGGGAGGGGTGCAGGGGCAGAGGTCTGATGCTTGAAGGAGTCGCCTGGGGTTCAAGTTTGGAAGACCAGGCAGGGGAGTGTGGTGAGCATGGGGAGGACAGAACAGGATGGGGAGGGACAGACTGAACAGCCTTGACATCTCCACTGGGGGCTTGGACGTCATTCTCAGGGCACTGGGGGGCACAGGCGTCTGTAGGGAGGGAGGCAGGAGAGCTGACACACACTGAAGGTGTCCCTGGGGCTGTGGGGTAGAGCAGAGCAGCACAGAAGGGAGAGGGGGTCAGTGGCTGCAGTCCCTGCGCGCAGCACAGCTGGCAGAAGGCTGCCTGAGTCCCAGGCTGGGATGCGGACGATGAGGAAGCTTTAGGCCTGGGCTGGTGGGACAGAGACAGGGCCACTCTGGGTGCTGTCCTCAAGAGTGGAGAAAGGCAGTCGAGTACACTTGCCTCTCGCCAGCAGCAGCCACGGTGTCGCCTTGCTGGCTTGTTTGCGGGGGAGGGACAGCTGGGAGGGTTCTGGTCAAGTGTGTGAAGACGTGACCAGTCCCCACATCTCCAGCCACCGCAGACACTTGTTCCTGCAGGAGCGACCGCGCCACGCCTTTCTAGCTTCCGGAACCCCACGCATCTCTGGGCTGTTCCCTGGGGCCTTGAGAGCCACCTTTCCCGTCCTTTCCTTCGTCGTCACGGGGTCTAAATCTGTATCTCTCCCCTGCAGCATCTGGGCAGGACCCCCACACATCCCGGCCTCTGCACACTAGATTCCGGTGGTACCCCCACCCAGCTGTGACTGCCAACACCGTCCCAGACATTGCTGAGTGGTCCCCGGGGGCAAAAGTGCCCCTGGTTGAGAGCAACTGCCCTACCGAAGGAGGTGCAAGCCAGTGAACAGAGGACCGGGCAAAAGCGAGTGCTGTTTGGAACTCAGAGGGCCTGGAGAAGGTGTTCAGGACTCCCGGGGCCTCCGCTGGGGCATCCTGAGTGCAGGCACTAGGCCACCGAATGAACCCTCAGCTTCCCAGGTATCCGGGGCCTGAAAGGTGTGAGGACATTTCCGCGCTGCAAAGGGTTGCTCCCATCATGAGTGAGTGAACAACTTTCTCATTTATGTGTCAGTCTCCTGTTGAGTCTGGCTAACGGGGAGTGGTCTCAGGGAGACCCATCAGAGGCAGCGACCAGCCAGGGTCCTGCGGTCCTGGAAAGC